GGTACCTACTATGATAGGGTACTAGAGCCCCTAGGGCCCTATATAGTAAGCACCTGGAGGGTTAGGGTAAGACTTAGGGTCAGGGCTTCAAAGGGCTTAGGGTATGGGAAGTTTAGGGTTTAGGGTTTTGGTTGTAGGGCCGCCTGAGAAAGAGAAAGGGTTGTGCAAGCCGTCGTAGGAATGCTGGCAGCAATAGCAACCCAATTCCGTTTTCCAGCCGTTGTTTTTCATCGGCTCCAACGTGACACCAGAATCCGGATCTATCGTGGAGAACATCACCTTCCCAGTCGACATGTGCACTTTCCCATTCACAGGGTCGTACACGGTGGCAGTCTCTTCACTCTCGAGATCCGTCTTCCTGCTAGAAGAAATGCAGGACCATCCTCCGAGACACTTCGTGTTGAGCACCGTCTCCTTGTCGGGGCACTCCACCTTCTGGATGAAACCTCCCTGCTCACAGCTCGCCAGGTACGTTTTTTTGCAACCGTTGGCGTGCTGCTTTATGGCAAGGACCACATTGTTCTCCTCCTTCCACTCACCTGCCAGGTAACGGAAGGAGCCGTATGTGTCATCCGCCATACCATGGACACCTTGATACTGGACGAACAGCCAGTGGTTGCAGAGGTCTGTGCGGCTTTCCGCTGACACGGAGTCAGAATCCAGGCGCACAGCACCGACCACCACCAAGAGCTGTGAAAGGACGAGCATGTTTCACACAACGAAAGCTTGGCAAGATCTGCTTTATGAGGTGAATCAGCTTGACGGAAATCGCGCGGCGATGCGAGGGAGACAAAATCGAAAACGGCATAAGCTGTAGTAATTTGTTGTGAGCGATAGTTCGCGCTACTCTAGTAGCCGCAGCACCAGCAGCAGCAGTAGCCGTAGCTGCGGCCAGTGTCGAGGCCACGATGCTAGTAGTAGCAGACGTCGTCGTCGCGGTGGCGTTCCCAGTAGTAGTTGTCGTGGTCGTCGCCCCAGTCGTAGTGTTGAGCATGATAAAAAAAAAAACGGCAGCAAGCATAAGATGAAAGCTCCACTCACACGGCGATGATGAGAAAACAAGGCGTGAGCTTGGGAATCGGCAGCTACGAAGACGACGACGAAAACAGAGAGGATGGCGGTGATGATGATCTGCAACATCCTTGAATTCAACCCCTTCAAAATCATAATCAGCATCTCCTGGACTTTTTCTAGCCTGCAAGGCACCTTGCAATGGGTAGTACTCTGGTCTCGACGCTTGCCCACGGAGATTCCGCCCTACTCGTAGGAGCAGGCGCCTGGACGTGGGAAGCGCAGAAACGGGAGCACTCAAAATCGATTGCTGCACTGAGCGTAATTTTTGCGCTAAACGGTGCCACCCAAGGTACCTAATTAGCTACCTTGCGCTGTTCTGAAGGTACCGACTTAGCTACCTTGTGCTGTTCTGACAGTGGTTCCTTCACGACGATGAATCAGTAATCCTGGGCTTGAGGCCACCGTGCATACCTGTTGTTCCCTGGGTCGGCACCAAACTTTCGAGCAGCCCCCCCTTCCGGCTTGTGGGTGTTTAGGAGTTTAAGACACTGGGAGAGATTCCCAAAATGCCCAGGGGGTCTGTTTGGGGCATCTGCCGAAAGGGGGGACGATCTGCGTGTGCTTTGCGCTTGAAATGGAACAGAGCTGGCGGCTGAAGGATGCTACAGGCCCTTCCTGGATTCGCCAAAGGCCAGCTTGAAAAAGGTGGGGGAACTGTGCAAAGCGCAGCTCACGCAGAATTCCAGGGGCTCTGCTCTGTGGCAGGTACCCCTACAAACTACCGGCGAACATCATTGATAAACTTTATGCTTAGATGAAGGGGGAGACCTTGCGGACGACCCCCCGGCCCTGAGAGTAGTGGTAGAGGGTGGTGTAGCCCAGGTGGAAGGGCAGCCAGACGTACTGCAGCGCCTTGCCCAGCACCTTGTGGGCATCAATGGACTGCTTGGCGAGGCGGTCGTTCCTGCGATCGTCCTCTGCCTTCCCGGTCTTGTCGGAGCCCGGTGCCCACTTGAGGAAGTACTCGTTGGCGATGCCGGACACTGGCAGCAGCAGGGCGAAGGCATAGAAGGCACGCAGGCTTTGTGTCTCGATCATCTGCACGATAGGGTGGCCAGGGAAGCGCGGTGGGATGCCGCTCTGCATTCGGAAGATCACTCGGAAGACAAGTGCCACCAGCATCAGGATGCCGGTCTGCTTGTGCCACCAGAGCATCTGCTTCTTGGCCTGACCCTCCGAGTAGGACGCGGCCTGAGCGGTGCCCACAGCACCGAAGATGCCCACGGCCATGATGAGGTGCAGGTGCCTCAGGGCCCGGCTGTAGGTGAACTGCGACAAAGGCTTGCGGTTCTGGAAGGTCTTGAAGAGGTACCAAGCCAGGGCAGCAACCGCCACGTCCGTGACTTTGTACTTCAGGTAGCGGCCAATCTCAGAAGTCTCCTCGCCGACCACCTGCTGCACTGCTGCCGACTCCGACCAGTCCGTGTTCTCCGCCGGCACCAGCTGGCCCACCAGCATGTCGCGATCTCGCTGCACCCGGGCCTTCTCGGAATGCTCGAAGACTTCGAAATCCTTGGTGCAATCCGTGCCCGCCTTGGACATCAGGATGTCGTCGCCGCCGGGGTGGCTGCCCAGCAAAGGCTTCAGGTTGTAGACACGGTTGTGGATGATCATGTACGGCTCCTCCGCTGTGTTGTGCTTGGCAACCTCGGCACGGGAGAAGAACGGCAGGTCCTTGCCAGCCGAGACCTCCGCCAACTTGGGGAAGCGGCTCTCCTCCGACAGGGTCGGTGCGTCCGTCTTGCCCGGCACCTTCACGGCCGTCTTCACCGCCTCGATCTCCTCCTTGGAGGGCCCCTCAAGGCGTCGCAGCTCGTCGTGCAGCTCGCGCAGCTCCATGATGATGGAGTCCACTGGCTTCTCCGGGCCGACCTTGCCGGTCTTGAACTCCGGGCGCATGTAGTACTCCATCCACTGTTTGCTCGGGAACCTGCCCGGGATCTTGTCGAACATGGGCGTCGCATCGCGGCCGGCCCAGGCAAGGATGGAATTGCGCTGCTCCTGGTGGTGCTGCAGGAAATCCGTCAGGTCGAAGACCTCGCCGCAGATGGCGATCCAGCAGTCGTGCGGCTTGTTGTGCCGGGCCACCTCCGACAAAGGGATGTCGCTGCTCGTCCAGCCCAAAGGCACGTCGTGCTGATGCGCGTGGTCCTGCAGGTGTAACGGTTGGGCCAACCGCAAAACCCTGAAGATAGCCAGGTAAGTAGCCGCCCTGCCAGAGGCGTCGATAGACCCGTATACAGACCCCTATGGTTGTTCCATAGGCCCCCTATGCCGTGTGAGTGCCAAACCCTGCAAAACTTGAAGGCCCCTATACTGACCGGCGGGCTCGCAGGTCGACCGCCCGACTGACTGGCTGACTGACATGGCGCTTGAAGCCATTCAGGCAAAAACCAAACAACACAAAAACAAACAACAATACCCAAAAAGAACACCGGATCACATAGACCCCTGTCGGAAAACGATAGGGGTCTGTGCCCCTGATAGGGGTCATCCCCAAACCATAGCCCCCTGTGTATAGGCCCCTATCCCACCCAGGACACCCCCCAGGCATAGGTAACTACCCCACTTGCTGGAGACCCCTATCCATAGAGGTCTATGGCCTAGTGGATAGGCACGGTGGGGTAGGGGTCTATGTCTTTTCGTATGAACCCCTATCAGATAGGGGTCTGTCCCTTTTCGATAGGCGGCTACTTGCCTGACTCTGACTCCAAATCCTCAACCCCCCCCCTCTCTCGCAAGGTTTCAGTCTGAGTAGAACCACGATCCAGTAAAAGCAAGAGCCCGAGACAAAAGTAGGTTCTGGTTGGTTCGAAAAGGCTCACAGACTACAAAGTGGGAGGTGCTGACCCCCATCATTTCCCATGGTCCTTATGGCTGAGGACTTCTTCCAGCTCTCGCTTCACCTCTGCGGCTTGCGCGAAGTCCTGGCCAGGCGCTGCATCTACACCCTAAAACCTAAACTGTAAGCCCTCAACCAAACCCTATAGAACCCCTACAACCCAGATAAACCCTCGAAAAAATCCATAAGAGCCCCTATATAAACCCCTTGAAGCCTCTAAGAAGCCAAAAGCCAAAAGCCCCATGAACCCTAAACCCTACAACCCCCAACCCTAAACCCTAAATCAGAAACCTGTAAACCCTAAACCCAACAAGCCCTAAAAAGCCTAAACACTTCATGAAAGACTACAAGCACCAAACTCCGGGACCTCGGCGTCCAAAGCCACACGCTTCTTCGTCTCGAGGCGCTGAAGCTTCTTCTTCAGCTCCGCATCGACGTTCCTTTGGGCTTTTAAGGGTTTAGGGTTGAGGGGGGTAGGGTTTAGGGTTCAGGGTTGATGGGGTTTAAGGGGCTTTACGGTTGATGGGGTTTGTGGGGCTGTGGGGCTTATAGCGTTTAGGGGTAAAAGGGCTTAGCGCTTGTTTTTGAGACTTAGCTAGACGTTCCTTGACTCGGGCACAGCTTTGGCTTGGATGGCAACTGTGGATGGAGGAACCACTGAAGCCCCAAACTCTACACCCTAAACCCTACGCCCTAAACCCTAAGCCCTACACCCCATAAGAACCTTGAGGGAAACCCACTTGGCCCGGCCGCTTGTCTTCCAAAAGCTTCGGGATGCTGTCGGCCTAGCAGAATCTACGGTTCCAGGGGTTGGGGGCTTCGGGGCTTCGGGGCCTCAGGGCTTTTGGGCCTTCGATGGTTTCGGTGTTTAGAGCTTTAAGGCTGAGGCTCGATAGGGTTTAGGCGTTACGAGGTTCAGGGTTGGAAGGTTCAGAGCAGCATGTGCCATCAACACGGAAAACATGAGGATTCGTGCTGGCATTCCCTAGGTTGCTGGGGCTGCGGGCTACAACTTTGAGGTTTGGGGCAATTAGTACACGGTTGGCCTGTCTGTATATCATGGGTTTAGGGTTTAGGGTTCAAGCAAAATCAAGTTTGAGCAGGTTCAGAAAAAGCCATTGGATTGGAGGAAGCAGCCTGAGTTGTGCTTAATGCCCGGTTTAGGGGTTCAGGGTTTGGGGTTTCCCGGCTCGAATTCTTCGACGCTATGCTGACATCAAAAAAACACTTCCCACAAATCTCAGTGAAAATGAACGGCCCACCCCAGGAGCTTTGGCCTTGCTGTGTGGGGGGCGACCATACTAGGAACACAGGGTTCATGATTGCCATGAGAATTCTGTACAAGCTTTCGCTTCAGGCTTTAGGGTTGAGGGTGTGAAGGAAAGGTTTAAGCAGGGATGAGTTTCGGAAAGGCCATTTGACCAAGCAGTTCGGGGCTGTGCATGAGACATACATGCAAATCTCTTTACGGTTATAAAGGGGGCAAAGACTGAACATTGGACTCGGAAAGTGCTGCAAGTGAGAGGTTGCATCTGAGGACAGCGGGACATAGCCGCCAATGCATCCTTAAGACTATCCGCCATCTGTCGTCAGTATTTCCGTTACGTGCTGCCTGCACGGAGTTGGGAGCTAGTGCTGCTGCCCACCCCAACTATATCGACGATGATGACTGCAAAAGAGACGAGAAATCCGCTCTGTAGATCCTCTTCCGCAAACCCAGCGGCCCCGACTCTGGAAGTGAGCACTAAACACAAACGCGCTCCCCTCTTCCTAGACTTGGTCTCTCAAAAATCAAAAGAGTCATGTTTTTCATGAAAAAAACATGTTTTTTCATGAAAAAAGAGTTGGCCTTGTGGGTTTTGGTGCACCGATGGAGCAGGCATTCGACCTCCTGGCGGATCTCCACAATCCGGGCCTCCGCGTGCCAGTGCTTCTACACAGGCCGGCCGGCAGGCAGGGTTTAGGGGTTTAGGGGTTTAGGGGCTTAGGGGTTTAGGGTTTAGGGGTTTAGGGTTTAGGGTTTAGGGTTTTAGGCAGGCAGGGCAAACGGGCAGGCAAACTACTAGTAGTATGAACGATATTCATCGTGTTGCTGTTGCGTTTATTTGCTTCAATCTGTGCCTATACCATCTATAGGGCATCATGCTTGCCACATACCACCAAGATTCCAAGATTGTCTGCTACAGCTTGAGATCCGATTTACCAATATTGGCCTTCCTCGTAACATTGTTTATACTGCCATAAGCCGTATAGTAATACTATTGTGTGCACTGCTGTTTGTCTTTTCATTTGCATTATTGATTGTATTGTTAGTGGCATTACTATTCGTATTATCACAATCATCATCATCCGCATCATCATCGCATCATTGTTACCGTTGTCATTTATCTTCTTGGTTTGCAATTTATACTGTAGGCACCTGGTTAAGAAACCCTGGACCTTTATTGCGGTTCTTAATATGAACCCTAATATATTGGTTCCTTCACCAGGCAGGGTCACAAGTACTAAGTATCACGCACCTCACGGAGCTGGTGCCAGTACTCATCGGACATCAGATCTCCGTCCACGCCCAGGTCGCCGAGGAAGGCTTCCGGCCGCAAGTAGGCGTCGATCCTCGGTTCAGGGTTCAGGGATTTTTTTGTTAGAGGCCCTGTTGGGCGGGCATGTACCTAGCCAGGGTTCAGGGTTTAGGGGTTAGGGTTTAGGGGTTTAGGGTTTAGGATTTAGGGTTTAGGGTTCGGTTTCAGGGTTTAGGGTTTAAAAGCTTTGAGCGCTTCTGGGTTTAATAGGGTGTAGCGTTCGTTTAAGAAATTTTCCATAGGGCTGTGGTGTCTTAAGCTTCAGGTCGCAAGTAGGCGTCGATCCTCGAGCAGCCCTTGAGGACCACATGAACCCGAAAAGAGCTGAGGGCCCATGTCCCATACTGCAGAGGACATAGTTTTCAGGGTCATTCGGTCAAATCGGGCATTAGTGAAGCTCGGAAGCAGCCCGTGCACGAACGATCCAAACACCACGCCATAGTAACCTCAGAGTTTATGAACTCCAAACCCAATCTCTGCAAGCAATCTGCAGGAAAAAACTGCAAACCCATCAATCCTGGATAGCATCTTGGAAAAACCGCAAAATACGCCCTAACCCTCATAATCAAGAGTTCCTAACCCCAGATCTTGCAATCAAGAAACCGCTGAAAACCTCCTGACAACATAGATCTACATAAGCCCTAAACCACCAAAACCCTAAACCACCAAACCCTAAACCCTAAATCCCCACACCCTAAACCCTAAGCCAAGCATCTTCACGCCCTTGTGGATGTCGTTGAAGAACTTCGAGGCGTCCTTTCCCGCCCAGGCGAGGATGGTTGTGGGGCCTCCGGGATGGCGATCCATGAACTCCGAGAGGTCGTAGACCTCTTTTGGGGCTTTAGGGTGTTCTAAGAAGGGTTTTGGGTTTAGGGTGTTCTGATACGGTTTAGGGGTGTAGGGGCTCTAATAAGGGTTTTGGGTTTTGGGCTCTAGGATGTTCTAATACGGTTTAGGGGTTTAAGGGCTGAAGGTTTAGGCTTGGGCATTTGGCTGGGCGGCTCGGGGTATAAGGACTTAAGACTATGAGCGTGGATTTCCCCACAGGGTGGATACGACAATCCAACACCACAAGCAATGCACAAGTTAAAATCTCGAGTTCGTGCAGCCTTGGAAACAGTGACGATGGCTCAGCTTTGAGGCTCGTGCTCTGGGTGCGAACCAGCGAAGGCTGCTGCTGAGGCTTAGGGTTCAGAGTTTTGGTCAAAGTTGCTCCTCTCCCGCGAGAGTGCAGCATCCCGCGGAGCGTAATCATGGAATCCCGGGATCATGCAGTGCTGCTTAGAGCTTCCGGGTTTTTGAATATGCCTGAAGTTCTGAAAGCCTTGCCTTGCCATTCAATGCCACCCAGCAGTTCTCCGGCGTGCAGTGGCGGTTCACCTGCACCCAGGCGACGAATGGAGCCTGGTCCCCCGCAAACTCCCAAACTCCAAACCGAAAAAGGCCGTAAACCCTAACCCTAACAGCCCTAAACCCCTAAACCCTTCAAAACCATAAATCCCAAACCCCAAAGCCCTGAATACTTCAGGCTTCTAGACTTCACCACGGCCTAGGGTCTAGGGTCTGGTCCTCGGGAGTTTGCAGCCCTGATAAAAGAGTCACTCATTTCAAGAACGGGCTTGGGGCTTCAAGGGTGTAAGATTTCGGGGCATGGCATCGCTCATGGATCCTTTTCCTGATGGGATATGTTGGCGAGAGGGCGATGATGGTAATGATGATGGTGATGGTGATGATGATGATGATGATGGTGATGATGATGATGGAACGATCTATGGCAAAAGACATCTGGGCTTGAAGCTTCACGCCTGAATTTGGCTAGCACACTATGGCTGTCTACCTTCCTCACGGATCGAAGTTTCTGCGACTCTCACCAGACTCGCCACGTTTACGCAAAATTAGTTACGGCCAAGAAAGCACACCACTGCAATAAAGTACATTGCTTCAATGGCAAAAAATCGCAGTCTCGGCTATCATTTCCGTGATTGCTACCCCAGTACCGCGCACCACCAAGGAATCAAGTCCGAACGACCGAATGACCATACCTACCGCTGCTCATCCACAAACTCCGGCATCTACCTCAAACCTCAAGTATTCTAAACTGTGGGAGCTGTGGTGCATTAGGGTTAGTTGCAGTGTTAAAGTTGCACTTAACTATTATTGCTTTTGATAGCCGTGTAGTGTACTGCAACCTTATTTGCCTGGATCCCCTGGTAAGGAAGTGAATTCCTTGTGGTCCCTCCTTACACGGACCCTTCCAACAACCTCCACGTCCTCTCCCAGCCTCCGAAAGTGGGATGTTCTTCGAGATGGCCGACGTGCCGGGCTCGTGGATGACGCGCTGCTTGCTCTCAGGGACCTTGTTTCGGTGCTCCAGGGTGGAGGGTTTAGGGGCTTATAGGGGAACATAAACGGTAATTGCAAGGTTTTGGTGCGCTTTAGCGTTCCTTGCGAAACCTGCGAAACAAAGTTTTCGGGTTTGGGGCTCGCAAGGCGGACGGTGACCACTTGGTGCTTAGACTCAGGCTTCGAGCGGCTCAATGCTGGCGGAATTTATGGGCAAACTTTCTACAATATCGCTCAGCTGTGCACATGGAGCTACAAACACTGGCTGCTAAGAAGAAGCCTCTGCTGCTATGAAAGTCGTTGAGCTCGTGCCCTTTGCACGCGACGGTTTCGGGTTTACGGTTTTCGGGTGCGTAGTCTGGTGATTATAGTGATTGTGCATCGCCTCTGAAGCCGACCTTCCGATCCGCTATAGATGATGTCCGGCATCTCGCTTGACGGGGCTGCCGGCGGGTTTACATGCAGCCCCCAAAACCGCACACTTGTAAGTTAACAGACAGAAGATCAGAAAAATTACGTCTAACTTGTAGCTTTATATTTCTACAGCGAGTAAACGGGGGGCTCCTGTGGCTGGACGGGAAGATCAACACCAAACGAGCTACAGTAGAATTTCCTTGTTCAGAAAACCTACCATGATGTAAGTAGCATTCTGTATGTGAGGGCATGGCTTGAAATGACCGTGAGAACGAAACACAAAAATGAACAATCATAACACTGATGACCGTCAGTATGAATAAGTATCAATAATAAGCATCAGAGAAAACACTGATGACCCTTAGTCTGAATCGGTATTGATGAGAATTGGAGAAGATGAGAAGCACTCGCAGGATGCTCGTCGGTGTACATTGCCGCCATGATCCGTCCTAGGTGAGCTTTCGGGTTGGGGGCCGCGGGAATTGAAAACGCTTCGGGTTCTCTTGAAATGCAGGTGTCGGGTCGGGGGAATTTACGATTTATTATCGCTAACCGGGTGTTGCCTTGGGGGGAATTCTACATGGCACTTTGGTTGTGAAGAGAGGATTGATAACCTATACGGTTTAGGGCTGTTTCGGGTCTTGGTGAAATTGAGGGTCTAGGGTTGCCGAAGGGGTTTGAATGGGTTTTACATGGGGCTTGGGGGTTCGCAGCTTCGAAGACACGAAATGGCCTTCGGCCATCGGAAACATCAGAGACGACCACCTTGAGGAGTCTAGGTAGGAGCCTAAACCCTTATAGAAACCCTGGAAAAAGAACCCTTATAGATCCCTTTCAGGAGCCCGTATAAAGGGACCTCAACTGGACCCTGTTTTAGAGAACTACCCTCAGACCCTAAATCCTATAGATCCACGGCTGCAAGCCACAAAGATTCAAGTTCCACATCTTGAGCTCGTCTCTTTCCAGCTACGTAGAGCAAAAGTCCCGCAGAAAAGGCTGACATAAGCACATAACCCTGAGCTGCAGCTTCCTTTCCCATTGATATGAAACAGCACTTTGAGTTATGATACCATCCCTACGGGTTACATACTACTCTTACGACTGGCAAGACTAACTCTACAAGCTTACGGCAGATACAAACCTCCGAAGCCCAAACGGCTCGCCAAGAGACGGGGAACGAAGGAAAATAAGCTGTGCGGCAACGGATGCTTCGAGATGTGCAAAACGCTTCGGCAAAGTCTTCGAATGTGCGCGACAAAAAAGCTAAATCCAGAATTACAAAGCAGCTCACTAAAGAATAAAGACTAGTATAAAGTATACCCTCGGCCAAATCTGGAAACACCGAACCCTGCCTTTTTTGTAGGGCCCCCATAAATTCTACAGGAGGGTCAAAACAACACTTGCAGAATTTGTAGTTTAGTTACCCTTAAACTGCCCGTTTCGTAGCCCCCTTAAAATCCCAACAACCCTAGGTTATGGCAGATTACAAAGGTTGCTAAGGCGCCTGTAGCACAGGAATCCTCACCCACTCCCTGCGTTGGCGCTTTCAACTTACTGCGAAGCCATGGCCCAGGCATTGGCATGAAGCTCTCAACCAAATTCCAACTCCTCTGCCTCTGCACAGAAAGTCCGGGATTCCTGTTAAGGGGTCCTTTCGTTGAGGAGACGCCGATTTGTGGAAACCCACCGAAGTCAAAAGCCTGCGAAAAGATTAAGGGACCTTGCTCCGGGGACTTGCAAAAAAGGGACCCTTTTCCCGTGTCCGGAAGGCAACAATGCTGCGCTCTCGATGACTTGCCAGATACCGTCAGTGGATCGACGCCTGGTGGTCGAGCTATCGAACTAGAGCACCCAAAATCCGGGCTTGCGTGGTCAGGCACGGCCATGCCGATCCCTGCCGTGCAGGAGCCCACAACATCATGGCTTCGACTGTGCATGTGACTGTCTTCAGAAGCCGAAGGACGAGTCTAAAGCATTGAAAAAGGTGAGACATGCAAATCACTAGCGCTACTGACGCAAACAATTCGGAGTCTTACGATCTCCTATCAGAGGATGGATGATATCATCCTAGATGAAGGGGGAGACCTTGCGGACGACCCCCCGGCCCTGGGAGTAGTGGTAGAGGGTGGTGTAGCCCAGGTGGAAGGGCAGCCAGGCGTACTGCAGCACCTTGCCCAGGACCTTGTGGGCATCAATGGACTGCTTTGCCAGGCGGTCGTTCCTGCAATCGTCCTCTGCGTTGCCGGTCTTGTCGGAGCCCGGTGCCCACTTGAGGAAGTACTCGTTGGCGATGCCGGACACTGGCAGCAGCAGGGCGAAGGCATAGAAAGCCCGCAGGCTCTGTGTCTCGATCATCTGCACGAGCTTGTTGCCTGGGAAGCGTGGTGGGATGCCGCTCTGCATTCGGAAGATCACTCGGAAGACAAGAGCCACCAGCATCAGGATGCCCGTCTGCTTGTGCCACCAGAGCATCTGCTTCTTGGCCTGACCCTCCGAGTAGGATGCTGCCTGAGCGGTGCCCACAGCACCGAAGATGCCCACGGCCATGATGAGGTGCAGGTGCCTCAGGGCCCGGCTGTAGGTGAACTGCGACAAAGGCTTGCGGTTCTGGAAAGTCTTGAAGAGGTACCAAGCCAGGGCAGCAACCGCCACGTCCGTGACCTTGTACTTCAGGTAGCGGCCAATCTCAGAAGTCTCCTCGCCGACCACCTGCTGCACTGCTGCCGACTCCGACCAGTCCGTGTTCTCCGCCGGCACCAGCTGGCCCACCAGCATGTCGCGGTCGCGCTGCACCCGGGCCTTCTCGGAATGCTCGAAGACTTCGAAATCCTTGGTGCAATCCGTGCCCGCCTTGGACATCAGGATGTCGTCGCCGCCGGGGTGACTGCCCAGCAAGGGCTTCAGGTTGTAGACGCGGTTGTGGATGATCATGTACGGCTCCTCCGCTGTGTTGTGCTTAGCAACCTCGGCACGGGAGAAGAACGGCAGGTCCTTGCCAGCCGAGATCTCCGCCAACTTCGGGAAGCGGCTCTCCTCCGACAGGGTCGGCGCATCCGTCTTGCCCGGCACCTTCACGGCCGTCTTCACCGCCTCGATCTCCTCCTTGGAGGGGCCCTCAAGACGTCGAAGCTCGTCGTGCAGCTCACGCAGCTCCATGATGATGGAGTCCACTGGCTTCTCCGGGCCGACCTTGCCGGTCTTGAACTCCGGGCGCATGTAGTACTCCATCCACTGCTTGCTCGGGAACCTGCCCGGGATCTTGTCGAACATGGGCGTCGCATCGCGGCCGGCCCAGGCAAGGATGGAGTTGCGCTGCTCCTGGTGGTGCTTCAGGAAATCCGTCAGGTCGAAGACCTCGCCGCAGATGGCGATCCAGCAGTCGTGCGGCTTGTTGTGCCGGGCCACCTCCGACAAAGGGATGTCGCTGCTCGTCCAGCCGACGGGGACGTCGTGCTGATGCGCGTGGTCCTGCAGAAATGCACTGGCCACATGGCAAAGGGCATGGTATCCTAGCCACAGCTTATGTGTTTAGGGTTTCGGATGCTTCCCTGCGGTTCACTATGCTATGCGCTGCTGCCCTGGGTCCACTCTCAGCATGCAGCCGCGTAGTCTAATCAAAAGCGAGCTTTACATCACACGGCTACTGCGTGACTATACTAAACAAACATGGAACCCAAGATCTGGTCTTCTGTTCCCTTGTTTCGTTCTGAAGAGGCTTTTCTTGAAAAAGGCACCGAAGCCCAAAACCCGACACCCCAAACGCTCCAAAGACCAGGCCCCGTACTATACATACACCTCAACCCGAGGCAACTCTAAAGCCCTAAACCCTACGCCCTGAACCCTAAAGCGACACTCTAAACCCTCAACCTAAACCCCCAAACCCGATAAAGCCTAAACCCAAAACCCTGAACCCGATCCTGGTGCGTGAGGAGCTCCTCCATCGCTCGCTTCACCTCAGCGGCCTTCTCGAAGTCCTGGCACGTCGGAAGGAGGAGTTATGGGCCTTAGGCTTGTGGCTGTCTTTTGAGACTTATAAGATTTGCATTTCTCGAGTTTCTGGAACTAGCTCGTACAGGCATGCATGCAGTCGTTCTTTCATTCAGTTGTACCATCCATCCATCCATCCCTCCCTCCATCCATCCCTCCATCCCTTCATCCCTCCATACATCCGTACATCCGTCCATCCATGTATCCATCCGTACATCCATCCATGAATCCATTCATCCATCCATCCATCCATCCATCAATTCATCCGATCTCCATTTTCTCTGCTCCCAGCCTCCGATCGTCACAGGGGTGCAAGCCGATTCCCTGACCTCTCGCCGAAACTTCTAACCCCCCAACTTCGGAAGTCATAGTGATGTCATAGTGTCTTTCAGGATGGTGTTGAACAAGCCTTCCCTGCACATATACATCATGAAGTGCCCTGAAAACCGACTGCGTGCCCCATCGATCTTCCACGCAGAGACACAAAAAATCGCAAGCCGAGGCTTGGATAGAAACAACCTGCGCAGGCACTGCGAGTCCAAGTTTACTTCTGCATGTGTAACCATTTTTTTGTATTTCTGGAAGCAATAAACCTCAACACATGACACTGTGGTTCTAAGGGCCTACGTCCTACGTCCATTGCCAGCACTCTGGTCTCGCTTGCGGACGCCACAGCGATTTGTAATCTTGGACCGCGTGCGCTGCCGCAGCACCGCGGCTCGGGAGCACGCAGCATCAGTAGCGGATGGGAGCCAAGATGCTTTCACAAAGAAGACTCGCCTGGTTTCGCGAAGTTCGACCGTAAACGAAGCAACAAGAAAACTCCCTCCAGCTGCCTCAGGAACGAAAGTAGGAAGCACCCCAGAACACCCCCACCCACTCGAATTCAGCAGTCCCAGGAGACCGCGCGGCGAAAGAGAGCAGCGCACTGCGAGCCCAAAGTTACATCTTCAGCTCTGCGAAGGCACAAGGAAAGACAAACTTGTGTATATTAAAATATGTGTATATGTATGTGTATATATATATATGTATATACTATATGACTTGCGATGTGCGGCTAGAGGTGCATATAGATGTTACATGTTAGATGCATACCGGGGGGGACGCTGGAATCAGTGTGCACTGTGAGAGGATGCTAGTTCCTGAACACACAAACACGTTTGTGCTCTTCCAGGATTCCAGACATCCAGTGCATGCTCGAACTTATAGCGAGTAACCAAGGGCCGCGTGCGCTGCACTTAGTAAAATTGGGCGGGGGGGCACTCGTGCAGCAAATTTAATATTGAACTTCCGCAACGTCTTCAGCACAAGTCCATCTCGATCCTTGCACTCCCGACGGCTGTGTCGGGCATGGAGACTGCCCCGTCGGTCGGATCCACCACTGCCTTCCCTTTCTTCCACTCGCCTGCACGCCGTTTCGACGGCTCCTTGTTGTGCCCTTTGCTTTGGATGCA